TTCATGCATATTTATATAGAAGGCAAGAGAGCATGAATTATTACAATACAGTTCAAGGTAACGAATAAGGGGTAGAAAGATGACGGAAGATGTGTGTGACCTCTATTGTAATAATTCAAGCTATCTTGCCTTCTATATTAATATGTATGACGAGCATATGTGTGATCGGAATGTCCGAAATCTGTTGTGCATTTCAGATAAACTGTAACGACAGAAGACAAGGGTTAGGAAACAGATCCTTTGCTGAGAAAATCAACAGATATTTATAGATTTTTATATTCATTACTATTCGTTATTGTTAGCAGAGAAGCAACGTCTCCTGACTGGTTGCTTTCCTGCTGAAGGTTATTCTGTCATCTCTTTGTTGTCGTTTCTTAGACAGTCCATTGATGGACCTGTGAATCGCACCATCCAAGCAATGCCTGCTGTGAATGGTTGTTGAGTTCCTCGAGGTTAGGCTTTGTTCTTGTTTTTTTCTCATGATTCGGGACTTAAACGTTGACGTAAATTACTGTTAACCAATTTTGTCTCGCAGACAGCTCTCACCACAAAACTACGTCTTCTTCTTCTTACTGTTTTGTCGAAATTCACTAAGGGAACTAATTTCTTTATATTGCTGAGTTCCTTGTTAAGTTTAATATTTAAGAGGAGGAAATAACTGGAAAGAATTATGTCTCCCCTCTAAATTTGTTGTTTTGTAAAAAGGCAAGTAAATCCTTTTGGAGAGCCTTTGAAAGTCTATAAATCTTCATTCTAAACATTTTAAGGCGCCCAGTCAACAAAATTTATACTCCCCTATATTATTCTTTAAACCGACAGTTCAAAATGAGACAGTTATTCGTCTATTTACACTTAACTTAATTTTCTAACTTTTCTCTACTGACTAATGTGATAGGCCAAATTAGGCAAGACATGTACTCAAACGCCTGCGTCTTTAAAATATTCATTATCTCAGTGTCTGGTTCGTATTTGTGCACCAAACAATTTGTATATCATCCCAGTGTTACCTACTTTGAAACGCCAAAAGACTCCTCTATTCAAAATCCTTTAATCCCCGTAATTTGTTTAATATCAGTGACCATTTCTGACAATCATAAATTAGGATAGAGTGAACTGTTGTGAGGTACAATTGATGTTTAACAGGTTAATTTACTAAGACTGATGCAATTCCATAGAAATCAACCGAAATATCCACAGAGAAACTTGTATAAAAGTGCATCATTTCAAGTTCCTACGATACTTTGAAAAAGTAAATATACAAACAAGTTAATTCCAGGTCGATCCTCTTGTACCAACGGAAGACAAGGGTCAGGAAACAGATCGTCTATTCAGGAAATCAAGAGATATTTATAGATTTTTACGTACATTATTATTAGTGTTATTGTTAGCAGAGTAGCAACGTCTTCTGATTGGTTGTTTTCCTGCTGAATTTTATACTGTATTGCTTGTGACCGTTTCTTAGAAAGTTAAGCCATATATCTGCGAATCGTATCCGTTGACGCTAAGTCTGCTGTGATTGGCTGTTGAGTTCTTCGAGGTTAGGCCTTGTTCTTGTTCTCCTCATGACCCCGATTCGGGACATAAACATTGACGTCAGTTGCTGTTGTTTACAATTTTGGTTAGCAGACATCTCTCACTACACTCTTATTCACAATAGGATTTTATCAACAACCGATTCATTAAGACTGATATAATTTCTTGAATAGGTGAAGTGATCAATTATTTTTGATTGAAAACGAATCGGTAACTAGTGTTGTGGTGAGAGCAGGCTGATAGCCAATTGGTAGACATTAATCGACACTGATTGGTAGACATTAATCTAGGCTGATTCAACAACCAATCACAGCAGACTTAAACGTGGGCAAATATGATTCGCAGATAAATGGCTCTACTTTCCGAGAAATATCGAAAACAACCAATCAGGAGACTGTGTTTGTCTGCTTAACTTCCGAGAAACAACCAATTAGAAGGCTGCCTTTTTCTGCCTGCATAAGCTTTATTAATGTACATAAAATATATATAAATACGCGTTGATTTTCGTAACAAAACGATCTGCTGCCTGGCCCTTGTCTTCTGTTGTTACAGTGTAATATGTCTAGTCCTGTCTTCGGTGAAGACTGAATTCCATCAATCAAGCCTGCAATGTGGCCATCATGGTGAACTGTAAATTGTTGATATAAGATGGTTGGAGGCAATAGCAAGCTTAACTGATAGAATTCAGTCTGCATCAAAGATAAGACTAGACACAATACACTATTTACTGACTAGTGTCGAATCAAAAATATCCAATACAGTCTTACAGGAGTTCGATCGCCAGCCTGAATAGCTCAGTGGTAACGTGTTTGTCTCCGACTGCAGCACTGGGTGACAAGGCGAGTTCGAATCTCAGAATAGACATGAGTACCTTTGAGTTGGTTGCAGATACGCCTTCCTGGCTGATGAGTGCCAACTAGCACGAAACCTTGGTTCAGCAAGGCTTCCTGTCGCCGACTGCCTTCAACCATCTAATATCAACAATTCGAAGTGATCAAGTGTTTGGATCAAAGTGAAATAAAAAAAAAAACATTCCAAAAGTGCTTTGGTAAAGACAGAAGGATCACCCCTTGTTTTTGTTTTGTGTTAATATCGATAATTTTGCCTCAATACACAGACGAGTCACATAATCTATATTGGTAACCAGCATTGGATTGTAAATCAATCACCTCTGTACTATAATCAGTCAAATGGTTAATACTTAGAATGAAAACAAATTATGCCTGAAAAGTTTACTAGTGAGAATTGCAACGGAATAATGATAATAACGTGCGCCACTGGCACAGCGGTTACGACGCTCTCCAACCATGCACATGGTCCGGGGTTCAATCCTCGGCCACGGACGCACTCCTTTACCTCGATAAGCCAGAAATAATGCTAATAAAGAGGAAAGTTGGGCATGGAGCTAGCAACTGCATCCTGTAAAATTAAACACTGCTACAGAAACTTCAAGCCACCGGCTTGAGGCCCTATGTTCCACTGGGCACGTGAATGAAGAAAATAATAATAATAAGATGCTTCTGTCACGTCTTTTTTCGCCATCTACATCTCGTGATTGTTTTTTTGGGGGGGGGAGAGGTGTTGGACAGCTCGTCTTCGTCCAATTTCATCAATGCTCACCACCAGTTTATTTGAACGCAGTCTGGTTTTAAGGTCTCTATGCTTGATTATAGTGTGTTCACAATTCATGTCATCGAATTTCATTAAACATGAGACAATTGTAGGCGTTCATTTGTTACCTCCAGATCTCTTGATTTTCCCCACAGAGTATGGAAGATGTTGCAAAAGCAATGTGAAAAGCCTTTGCCTTATTGATAGAGCTGGTGGCCTATAGGTTTAGGTTAAAGTGGGCTTATGCAGGCGCATCGTTATAAGTCCTGGACTTCAGAGGTAAGAGATAGAGGTAGAAACAGAATGGATTAAAAACTGTCTTAAAGTGAATAGAGTGATTTTATTGGCCAATGTAACGGAATAATTCTAACCTTGAACTATCTGCAGGTAACACTGATGTGTGTGATTTTTGCGGTGGACAGACTTTTGATCCGAAACCTTGTTAGGAATATTCTATTTGACTGTGATATGTATCCACATATAAATATTTATGTGTGTGTGTGTATGTTGGTCTCTCTTTCTGTTTGCTCGCTTAGTCTGTGACCATTTCACTTGTGTGAACTTGTCTCCTTTAATAATGTGTATTCTCCTTATATTATATTATATATAATATGAGTGTTTGTTGACAGTCCGTTGCTTGGTGACATATATCCATATTATATGTGGGGATGTTGACATGTCTGCTATATTCGCTATGTATATTTGGATCGACACTCCATTATAATTAGCCATCCATGTTAAGACTGTCTAATGATTTTTCCCACGCTTTGTCTGGAACATTCATACATATTTCGCATTCACAATTTGTGTGACTTTACAACTTCTTTACTTACTTACCACTTTGGTGTGAGACCATTTATTTTCGTCTCCTTGTGTTTGGACAATAGAAGTATCATCGCAAACCTAGTGGTCTTCTGATTTCCGCCTTCTCGCGTCAGGACTATTAGTTTCTCGACCAGTCCATAACAATAATTCAGCGACGAGTACATAACAGACTGTCCGCTACATTTTACAGTTGAATTTTTGGTTAACTAATTTTTATTCTGCAGTGCTTTTTGTATTAAGAAACTTACCTTGTCTGTATAGTTGGTTAACGGCATTGTTGAGGTGATTTTGACTTTGTGGTGTTATTATTGTTGTTGAATAGAACCACATAGATCCAACCACGAATAATCGTCATTTTACCTACAGGATTTCATCATCATGGGCTGACATCGGTTAGAGAACCATTGGGAAACCAGCAGTGGATTTTACTGGACAGCTTGTTAATCCCGGTTTTGGGACTCTTCATCAGTATGCACCTACCGGGATTCTAAACCAGAACCTCCTGGTAACAAGACGAACTCGTAGACCATTAAGCCCATGAATTCCAACTTCTGCCAATTCACGACATAGCGTGACCGCTAGCCAATGTCTTCAGAGAGTTTGTTTTGTCCTCACAACCGACCTACTGCACATAACTGCTCCCTGGACAAAATAGCTGTCCAGTACTCCCAGATAGTTTTCCAATGGTTCTCTCTAACTGATGTCAGCCCATCATGATGATGATGATGAAATCCTGTAACCAATCAAATCAAATCCCTATAAAACCAATACTTGAAAATCATCTTTCTGTTAACTTTAAAGCGTTTTGTAACTGTTCTTGTCACAATGAAGTTTTATCAGGTATGCAATAGGACGCAAAAAAGATCGGTGTCTTGAGTTCAGACTACAAATGTGTCGGTTTTAGTTGTATAAAGAATTATGAATACACTGCATCAATACCATTTTTCTTTTCTTTAACGCTGTTGCAATAAAATACCAGAATTTACATTGAAAAATTAAAATTCTATGAACAAAAAAAAAAAAATACTAACCGGTATCTTATACGCTTCCATATCCTCTTTCGTGTACATCTTGGTATTCCCGTGAGACAGAGCTGATGAGATAGACTAAACATAAAAATATTAAAAAAATTGAAAAAAAGTTTAGAAAAGGTAATTCTTCCCAACAATAAAAGAAGTATTAACTAGCGAAGTTTAATAAATTGTGGGTGACTAAATACTTATTTTTAAAAAAGGGTTAATAAAGCAGGATTTAATGAATTCATCAAATTTTGATAGGACTACTTCTCGGGAATATTATGTATATATATAGAACAACAGAAGACAAGGGCCAGGCAACAGATCGTTTATTAAGGAAATCAACACGTACTTATATATATTTTCATGTACATTATTATAGCCTATTCAAGCAGATGAACACAGTCTTCTGATTGGTTGTTTCTTACAGAAAGTTGACTTTGCATCTCTTTGTGACTGTTTCTTGAATGTCAGATAATCCATACGCCAAGTCTGCTGTGATTGGTTGTTGAGTCAGTCTTGTTCATATTTTCTCACCATCAATATTTGCGACATACCCATTGACGTAAAATGCTGTCTACGATTCTTGGCTAGCCTGCTCTCGCCACACTCGTCCCCCCGTCAAATAGCTTCTTGCGACCTTCTGGGTGATACATCCTCTAGTTGAGGATTGTTACTGACCGGCTTGTTCCATTGTACCCATCGTTGGATCTGACTGGTGTTAACTCGATTTTGTTTGTCACCTCTCCTGATGGTATATACTTGACCCCGTCTTTTTGTGATTGTGTACGTTCTTTCCCACTTTGGAGGGAGTTTTCGTGAACCTGGCCCACATCCAACTTCATATCTTCTGTCTCTACACTTTACTCGGTCCCCGACTGCAAAGGTAATGCACTGAGTCTTTTCTCTCATCTGAGACTTCACGACATCTCTCCACTGCTTCTGTATTACATTCCTGACTGCTTCTTTCTGTTCTGCTTTTAATTTCGTCATACTCCACTCTTGGTGAAATGGCCAGGCCTCGTTGTGTATCGGTAATCATGGTTTTCTACCACACATCCGTTGAAAGGGTAACTTCTTCGTTGTTTCCTGAGTGGCAGCACGATGTGTTAGTAAAATCAGTGGAAGCTCCGTTTCCAAGTTACCGCCCTTCCAGGCCAGACACTACTTCAGTGTACAGCTGTTTCTCTCCGTCAGGCCATTCGTTTGTGAATGATATGGGGTCGTTCTGATCCTATTGATGCCAAGCTGTCGCAAACGGGAAGTAAATTCTTCACTCTCGAAACAGGTACCTTGTTCTGTCAGTATTTTCTTCAGTATGCCATGGTCTGCAACTATGTGTCTAACTACTGCATCCGTCACGGTCCTTGCACGTTGGTCTGGGATTGCTACGGCGTCTACTCATCGTGTCGCGTGCTCCGTCATCACCAAGAGGTACTGATTACCACTGGATGTCTGAGGAGATGGACCCATAACATCTACGGACCACAAGTCACCTATCACCGTAACTAGAATCAACTGAAGTGGTGGTCGTATGCACCGGTCGCATTTCATTAGCTGGCACTGTGGACATCCAAGTACATACCTTGCTACGTCTTCTCTCATACCTGGCCAGTACATACTTTGTCTCTCACCATATATATATATATATATATATATATATATATATATATATAATACTAAACACTATTCCGAACAGTAATGATCATATACAATGAAAACTTTCTCCACTACGTAATCAAAAGAAAGAGAGGTGAAAATATCCAGTTACCAGGGCAAAGAAAGACTGATAACCGCTTATTTCTGGATGCATAAATCAGGTTTCAGGCGCTTGATGGAAATGACTTCAGCTAACTTGAGGAGAATTGAGCTCCTTTGCCTATCGATAATTTTGAACAATTTTTGACATCCACATCATGACCCTTATTATCAAGGAGACGCCTGGCGATGGCACTGTTTAAAGCATTTGTTCCCTTTAGACATAAGCTTTTTGGTACATGTTCAGAAAATCGTAGATGTGCCCTTCTTTCTGTCCGTCTAATGTAACTGCTCCCGTAGATACATGTAAATTTGTATATACAGTTAAAGTTAACATGAGAAGGATATCTATCGATTTTTGATTGCACCAAAGAGCAAGTTGTTCGATAGACGGAAACCAGCTTAGCTGCTAGATAGGCTGTGCGTATGACGTACTCAGTCTTCTGTTGACCATTGCTGCAATATTTTCACCTTTATAATCAAGCTGAAGGTAGACTGGCTTTTTCTCCACCGTGATTTGTTTTATATTTGAGTTTATTTTTTGATTATAGCTTGATTCAACATCGTATTTTTGGTACAAGTATGGAATTTTCAGCATTTGATATAGGTAGTTCAAATTTTGCAGGCCAACAATTGATATCAGGTGTTCGTCAGCAGAGGATCGAAGCCTGGACCATGTGGATGGTTGGCCAGAGCCCTAACCGCTATGCCACCGACGCATATATTTGTTAATGAACCTTTGAGGGTAACCACTGCTTTACAACCTCTTTTCAAAAAACAAAAATTCTTCCTCTAATTTCTCTATAGAGCATATTCTCCTTGCTCTATAATACAGAGTCTTGACTAGTCCGCGTTTAAAGCTATTTGGACAAAAACTATTTAAAATGTAAGTATTTTTCTTTCCAAGTAGGCTTTTGATAAATTCACTTCTGAGGATCTGTTCAGAATGATTGGATTACTGTTAACCCACTAACCTAATGTATAGGAAACGCAAAGCTGTATTTTATCCTATTCACGACTAATCAACTTATGACCTAAGATAACCCAAAGGAAAATGCATTAGAAAAAAATTAACGAGTGATTTAATAACTCACCTTTACAATCTCTGATAGAGTGAATTGACTGTCATCTCGTACAACTATATAACGTTGTCTAGGTGGATTGTCAATGATGCATTGAATTACTCTGAACAGCAAGTAAAATAAATATGGTGTATCTATAACTGGTTTTTCAACATTTGTTTAAAATATTTTGCTTTTTAACTACATACTACATAACTACTTACTCCGTTGATTAGTATCGATTTTTTCTAAATAAGAAATGTAATATTATGTTGAGGTTACAACGACTGGTAGTGATATCCAGGACAACGCGCATTTTGTCCAATTTGGGGACTATTCATCTGAATTTATCTGCATTTCCCAGGGAGTGATGCTGCTCCCACCAAGGCTCACTCCAAGTGCCTGTTGTTTCAAACGCTAAAGCGTTATCGACTAGTCCACGTGAGCTCCAACAGCCACCTCATGTGCAATGTGCAATAATAATAACAATAATAATGATAATAATAATGGCAATAATAATAGTAATAATAATAATATAAATGATGACACCAAGAATAAGGAATCTAAATCATCAGTAGTAATTCCGTACTATGGGAATATTTAATATATTGAAATCTCGCGGGGATCCTATTGCATTTAAGGCACTCAATGAGTACCTGAAATTTAGTGCAAGGCTCGCTGAAGCGAAAACATCGTTGGAATTTTTCAAAGAATGTGTGGAAACCGAACGTTATCATAAACTATATTGGAGGTCGTTAAGACGAATGAGGATTTATCCTAATTCTAAGAATTTAAAAAGACATGCTCTTAATCAGATTGATTCTGTTAAAACTCTTATAAATGATCTAGAAAGGAATATATCACAAAGACAATTTTCAGTTGATGATTTACCTCAGGAATTACAATTGATGTTCATTGAATATGTTAATAACGTAACAGTAAACAGAAGTAATAATAAAAGGATTAGTCTTGCCAAATCTCTCGAAAGCCAAAAGCTTGAAAGAAAATTTCCGTCAGATCCGGGCCGGTATGTTCACAATTTTTCCAGTATCGTGCTTAATAAGTTTCAATTAGAGGTGTTATCCCTAGGCCCCAAATTTAGTGATTATGCTCCTAAAGTTGACCGATTAGACACTGACATACAGTTTGAAAATTTGTATTCTCAAACGTCAGATCTTACCCCATCGTCGGACGATGAACTAACTAGGTTCAAAACGACGCTAGTGGACAGCTGCCAGCAATACAAGAATAATAAACACTCAGTAAATAGTCTTTTATCTAAACAACACAGAGAAGCTCTAAGAGAACTTAGAAGCAACGAAAGTCTAATCATTAGCAAGACGGATAAAGGTGATGGTTTAGTTTTACTGGACAAAAGCGATTATGTTGAGAAAATGGAAGGTATTTTGAGTGATCAAACTAAATTCCAATCGCTTGGTGTTTCCAAAGACCTCAATGTAAGAGCTGAGAAACAAATGACGGACTCGCTCAAAAAACTGAACCAAATAGGAGTATTATCATCAACCATGTATGAGTCCATGAAACCTACGGGTACCAATACTCCACGTCTTTACGGTCTACCAAAAGTGCACAAACCGGGTCTTCCTCTTCGCCCTGTTTTAGATATGTATAACTCTCCATTTCACGGAACAGCGAAGTGGTTAGTTAAGATCCTGGGTCCTTTGCACAGAGAAATTGTGCAACATAGAATTAGTGATGTTTTCGACTTTATTTCTAAAATATCCGAGACTAATGTGAGGTGTAAACGCATGTTATCCATGGATGTATCATCACTATTCACTAACGTACCGCTTTTGGAAACAGTGGATTATATTTGTCAAGAAATCACCGATAGGCAATTAGACTTAGGAATCCCCTTGTGTAGCCTCAAAGAATTACTTCTTAAATGCACTTTGTCTTCAATAATTCATACTATCGACAAGTAGATGGAATAGCTATGGGTTCACCATTAGGCCCAATATTAGCTGACTTCTTTCTCGCAAAACTTGAAAACGGGAAATTGAAGGATACCATCAAGGAGTTGGATATGTATTACCGATATGTCGATGATACATTTATCTTAGCTGATGAGAAGGTTAACATAGACGAATTGTTGCTGAAATTCAACAACATCCACCCTTCGCTTACCTTTACTTGTGAAGAGGAGCAGGAGAATAAACTACATTTCCTGGATGTCTTGCTAAGTAGGAGAGAAGATGGGTCACTTGGGAGAAGGTGTACAGAAAAAGCACATTCACAGGGCAGTACACACACTTCCTTAGTTACGTGCCCATTAAATATAAAAGGAATCTTGTAAAATGTCTCGCGAGCAGAGCAAGGAAGATATGTACGGAGGACCTCTTACAAAAGGAATTTGAATATATTCACGATTCCTTGACGGAGATGGGTTATCCGAGTAGTTTCATAAAGAAACATATGAAACCATCAGAGAAGAAACCTGTGACTCTGACTGCACATAAGAAACCTCTATTTATTAAGTTACAATTTAATGGGGACTTATCTAGTGAGATTCTATTCCAAAGACTTTCAAGGAGCATACGTAGAACATTTTACGCAGCACACCTATGTTTGTCATTCTCTAGCCGACGAATGATTGGGACGCAAACGAAGGATAAGCTTGATAGTTTTGCCACATCTATGTGTATTTATCAATTCAACTGCACCTGCGGTGACAGTTATATTGGGCGTACTACTAGACAGCTTAGCCAACGTGTTAGTGAACATCTCCCATCGTGGTTTGGCAAAGGACAGACAAAAACAATCCGTAGCTCAATTCTGTCACATCTAATTGATAGTGGTCATGTAGTCGATAAAACGAAAGCCTTCAAAGTAATTCATCGTATCCCTCCGAATCTTTCTAATAGACTTCGTATTCGTCTACTGCACACAGCTGAGGCGATAGGCATTCGAACTATTAAACCTAAACTATGCATTCAAAAGAAGTTCGTGCAGCCATTATCCCTCCCGTGGCCTAATAAGACATAACCAACGAAAGACTTCTACACCACCCTTTATTTATATTTCCAACCCCTTTCTTATCATCCCTTAATCTTATCTTATATTCATTATAAACGTGTTTCATTTCCTTCCCCTACAATCTAACATTACGTAATCGGTTCATTTGTTTTTACTAGCCTTTATCGACTACTTCCACCTGAACAATTGTTTGTTTAATCATACTGTTTTTCATTATTCATGTTATCACAGATTGCCTCATTTTTTCATCCTTATTATTGATAAGAATATTATTCTTACATATTCTCATAGTTCATTTAGGCATTAGCCACAGAATAATTATACATGTATTTGAACAATCTACTTCATGTAGTTTAATGTAAACCAAAAATCACACGTTCAGTGATTGGTTAAAGAATATAAAGCTGTATAGATATCAATAGATGTTTGATCACTTAAAAATACATCTTGGCTTCCGTGTTTGAATTTCTGTAATTACAGTGTGGCGAGAGCTGTCTGCTAGCCAAATTTGGTAGACACCAATTCACGTCAAGGTTTACGTCGCAAATCGGGGTCATGAGAATAAACAACGAAGATTAACCTTGAAGAACTCAACAAGCAGTCACAGCAAACTTTGCGTGGGAGAATACAATTCGCAGACATATCACCGGACTGTCTAAGAAACGGTTGCAGAAGATGACAGAATACCCTTCAACAGGAAAACAACCAATCCGAAGAGGTTGCTTCTCTGCTAACAATAACGCTAATAATAATGTACATAAAAATCTATGAATACTTCAGTGAAAATATCAAGAGGTATTTATAGATTTTATGTGCATTATTATTAGCGTTATTGTTATCAGAGAAGCAACCTCTTATGATTGGTTGTTTTATTGCTGAAGGTTATTCTGTACTGCTTGTGATCGTTTCTTAGAAAGTCAAGCCATATGTCCGCAAATTATATTTTCACACGGTAACTCCGCTGTGACTGGCTGGTGATTTTCTCAAGACTAAGTTTCGTTATTATTTTTCGTATGACCCTGATTCGGGACGTAAACACTGACGTAAACTGTTGCCCACACTTTCAGCTTGCATCCAGCTCTCACCACAAAAGTAGTAGAACAGGGGTAATCAGACTAGTAGAGCACAGAAACCTAAACAAAAGAGATCAGTTGACCCCAGTAAGATAAGAAATTTGGAGAATAGCTCAGCCGCAGATAGCACTACATGCAATTACACACAACCATTCAATAGGGTGATGGGATAAGATCGCATGTTTTGAAATCTAAGGTAACAGGTTGGAGGGAGAGATTGATAACATTGGGAGCTTAATTTATCGAATCAGTCAGCTGAAAATACATGTAATAGGCATGATTCAACACCTGTCCAACCGGATATCTGGAAAATTCTACTACTCCTACAACGAAAAAGATGGGATAAAGAAAAATATAAAACTGAAGTTTCGAAGTTGTGTGGTTATAATTGATAATATGATTATGAACAGTAATAAAATTTTTTCGAAACCTTGTCATCCAGTAAGCAGTAATACTGCTTCACTGAGTGATACATCTAGCAAACAAATTAATACGGAATTACATACATACACTACCAAAGTGACCATGTCAGATAGATGTTAATTTATTTAAAAATATTAGCCTACTTATGAGTAAGCAAATATTATTCGCAAAAATTATCGAGAATAGAAAGTTGCTTTGCTCTTCTTACCTTGCTAAATCAATCACGTGCACTGTTGGTAGAATATTCTCCCCATTCAAATAAATTGGCAAGGGTTTTTGTGCCAACCATGCTTCCTGGAAAGAAGTTTTTATGCTTATCATAAGTGTAAAAAATATGAGACAGATAATCTCAACATTCAGGTTTCCAATATAAAATATAGATCGGGTGCCAAACAAATTGCCAAAATTATTCAAGTACCGCATACTCCAAACAGCAGAAGCTATCTCGATTAGCCTGAGACAACTGGTGCTCTATGTGCAGAAGAAATAAGTCCAACCACTGTTACTGTGCTGGCTTGTTGTGGAGTTTGTAAATTCATAAACACCTTATTACATCGTCACTTTTGTTATGGCCCTACCCCTTGTCATTACACATTCATTAACTAACCTCTTTTCACTTATTTAAACGTAGTTGTTGAATTACACACTGACACATATACAACGCGCATATACATCAACCCCCCAAAAAACCCTTTTTCTCTACCCCCATCCTTGACATGATCACTCATCCATCTGAAGTTTATAATTTTGATGTGGTTGTGTTCTCTGAACTGAATAGTTAATTTGCGAAGCCTTCATCGCCCCACCAATAAGCGACATCTTCAGCGATTACTTCAATTTGAAGTGAGCTTTTAGATCTCTCCACGAGTTTATTGATCACCTCTCTTGACGGGGACCTTGGACGTGATTGGTTGTCTTTTTTTGTGTGTGTGTTTTCACCCCTTGTAGGTTACTTGTATTGGAACTGATTTTTTCTTTGGCTTGAACTTTGACCCTATGTGTGTGAGGTCCCCTAGTAGCGTGATGAAAGCTTCGCAAGTTAACTATTCAGCTCAGAGAACACAACCACATCAAAATCATCCACCTGAACTACAAATCTTCTCTATCATATCGAAGTTTATAATTAATATAAATGGAACTTGATATAAATATGACTCATGACTCATATACATATAATCTATTAGCACTCTAGTTGCAAATAACTTTTGGAATCCTTATCTAAGTGATTCGATTTTGCTTTCTATAAAAAAGCCTCTAAAGTTGTCAATAACAATCATTCTGTCATTATAATGGATATATAACGTGATGATGAAGTTATCGAAAAGCATATTCTTTGTTCAATAGTCAATATTTTGAAATTTCAAAGAGCGCTAAAAATGTGAAGGCCCTTAGTTCACCGAGTTTCCATTTCAGTTTCACCTCCATAATCTAATCCGATTAAAACTAATCTGTCAAATGTACACTAAAGCAGATAACTTAACATAAAGTTGACAGTAAAGTACACCTCCTTCTTCAAATGGTAGCTGAGGATATCGAATGATAAGTCAGGGGATCTCCTAGCTCTACTAATATGGTGATTCTGAGGTTACTGGCTGGAAGTCTACTATTTCTCAGCTTTCAAAATTAATCTCCACCTCATCACCTATCGATGGTATAAGTTAGGGCATTCAAACTAGTTTATTGAACCAGTCTGAAATTACCTTTTCGAAACCTGAGCTATCACATATTTTTCAATACAAAACCTCTTAGTAATAATGAAGCCTATTACTAGTGTCTCTACTACTTCACTTTCATTTGCCTCCCACTATAAAAACTTTAAGCAGTTAAAATGCTTCAGAGAATTACTTTAACCTTCCTTGTTCAGATATCATCAATTACAGTCTGTTGTATTGTATCATCATCACATCATTTGATTGTTATTAGGCTAAATGATGAATCGAATAAATTTACTACTTGGTATTAGATGGTTGGAAGCAATCGGCCAATGGAAGCCCTGCTCGACCTAGGTTCCGTGCTAGTTGGCACTCACCAGTCAATCAGCAAGGCGTATCTGCAACCAACTCGAAGGAATTCATGTCCCTTCTGAGATTCCAACCCGCCTTGTCACCCAGTGGTACAGTCGGAGACAAAGACGTTATCACTGAGCTATTCAGACTCGCAATTGATCTCCTGTAGAAATATATTTGATATTTTTGTGATTGGACACTAGTAAGTAACTAGTGTAATCTGTCTAGTCCTACCTTCGACACTGACTGAATTGTAACCGTCAGGTTTGCAATGTGTGTCCACCATGCCATTAGGTGGTGGCTTGCTATCACGGTGAACTGTCAATTGCTGGTATTTTAGATGGTTGGAGGCAATCGCAAGCTTGACTGATATAGAATTCAGTCTGCATCAAAACGGATAGCTCAACACATCACACTAGTCACCGACTAGTGTTCAATCATAAATTTACTACTTGTCAATGTAGGGAAGTAATATTTTTATTCATTTTTAAGCTGTATGTCACAATATCATGGCTGTTTTGCATCAACCAATCAAAGATTTTCACTCTTTGTGTGTCTCTGTTAACACACCAATAGAGATTTGATGGTGTGAATGCCTTTGAACGCGTTGCATAAAGAGTGCAGACCTGGTACACTGGCTTAGCCATTCGCCATTTCCTTCAAATTGTGTAACAGGAAAGTATCCTTGGACCTCACATAATGTACACATACTTATATGACAGAGAAGATTTGCAGTTCAAGTGGATGATTTTGATGTGGTTGTGTTCTCTGAACTGAATAGTTAATTTGCAAAGCTTTCATCGCCCCACCACTAGGCAACATCTTCAGCGATTACTTCAATTTGAAGTCAGCTTTTAGATTTCTCCACGAATTTATTGATCATCTCTGCTTACAGATGACTTTGGACGTGATTGGTTGTTTTTGTGTGTTTTCACCCCTTGTAGGTTACTTGTGGTATTGGAACTGATTGTTTCTTTGACTTGAACGTTGACCCTTTGTGTGTGAGGTTTCTTTCTTATAGGTTGATAAAGAATATCCAAAAGAGTCAATATCCACGAACTTCATCAAAAGACATATAACCCAAGCCAACCAATCAATCCATAAGACCCTAAAGAAAGTACAAAGAAATTCGCCTTACCATATATATAAAGGATATCTCAGAAATCACTACAAGACTCTTCAAACCTTTAGAAATTGACGTCGCACACAAACCAATAAAGTCACTTCACTCATTTCTGTGTCAACCAAAAGACTCAACAACGAAAGAAGATAAAACCAACATCTTCCATAAAATAAACTGTAACAAATACGAAAAACCCTACATTGGCCAAAGTGGACGTCCCCTTCGTCTTCGTATCCACGAACACAAGCTAGCTGTCAAAAGATATGATATCCACTCCCTCGCTCATTTCACTACATACAGACAACCACGGACATCAATTCGACTGGGACAACCAATGTCCAAATATTAGACAGAGGAAACAACAAGAATGCTAGAGAATTTTTGAAACCTGGTATTCCAGTGAATCATCAAACAATAGACACATAGAGATAGACTAAATTTACCAACTTATAAGGAGGAAATTTCATACACACGAAAGGTCAAACTTCAGGTGAAGGAAACAATCAGTTCCAATACAAGTAACCTACAAGGGGTGAACACACACACACAAAGACAACCAATCACGTCCAAAGTCACCTGTCAGGAGAGATGAATAATAAATTCGTGGAGAAATCTAAAAGCTCACTTCAAATTGAAGTATGCGTGCTGAAGATGTCGCCTAGTGGTGGGGCGATGAAAGCTTTGCAAATTAACTATTCAGCTCAGAGAACACAACCACATCAAAAACATACACCTATTAATATCAAAGACTTACTTTGAATAAATGTTGAAAGAGATATTCTCCACAACCGTAAAATACTCCACAAGCCAATACATAAGTAATGAATTTCTTTTTATGCTGTAAAACCAAAAAATTTTCATATGAATTTATAATAGCAATAAACAGGGCAATAAAGTGAAATCGGTTAAATGTAAGGAAGATTCTATCAAATACTTGAAATCTAATATCTACTTTAGAAAAAGACTGTGTTAAACAATAGAGATCTTCAATCAGATTAAAGATATTTATTCCAATAAGGTGTGTGAATACATTTCAGTGGTATACTGTTGGATAGAGCAAGTTGCTTTGTGGTGACAGCTGTCTGTCTGCTAGCCAAATATGGTAGACAGTAATTCACGTCACTGTTTACCTCCCAAATCGGGGTCATGAGAAAAAACAAGAACAAAGCCTAACCTCGAGGAACTCAACAACCAACAGCGTGGGCGGATACGATTCGCAGATATATGGCTTAACTTTCTAAGAAACGTCCACAACCAGTGCGTAATAAAATTCAGCGGGTAAACAACCAATCAGAAGAGGCTGCTTCTCTGATAACAATAACGCTAATAACTAATGTACATAAAAATCTATAAATATCAGTTGATTTTCTCAATAAAGGATCTATTGACTGACCCTTGTCTTCTGTCGTTACAACTTTACACCTGACTGTTCCTTTGATAGGTAACAGTTTGTCTCATTAATGATAGGAAATGATATAAGCTAGGGAACATCAAACTTCCATATCCTGGAATAATCTACCATCTGGTATTTAAAAAGCTAAAGTCGACTAATTGATTGTCAGTGTATTCATATACTTATATCATCACTACTTATGGAGAAACGTGTCAGTTTAATGCGTGTAGTACATGTTATTATTAATCTAGAGTAATGGAAGCCAACAATTACTGACTGACTAACTGACTGACCGACTGACTGAGTGACTGAGTGACTGAGTAACTGACTGACTGACTGACTGACTGACTGACTGACTGACTGATTGACTGACTGACTGACTGACTGACTGACTGACTGACTGACTGACTGACTGACTGACTGACTGACTGACTGACTGACTGACTGACTGACTGACTGACTGACTGACTGACTGATTTCAACATAGAACTTTGCATCGATGTGCAGCAGTTCGAGTCGCTACACTCCCTCTTTGTAGCACACAAAACAAGAGAAGAAGAAGAAGAGAGTAAAAAAGAAATGCAAAAAAGAGACAGTAAGCAGAGATGATATTAGGCAAAAAGAATAGTAATATCGAAGAATAATATAGTTTTATTGGGTATTATAAGTTACAAGGAGTGGATGCATCTGTGCCAGCCATAGAGAACAATTTTGAGTCATATCACCGATTGTCTCCAGTCATTGGTGCTTACCGTCCCGAGGACCACAACCAGGAAGCCTGCACCTTCCTACGTGACTAGCTTAAACTAACTGTTGTGGATTTCATTGACTGATGAAGCCATGTTTTGGTTTGACCATTACTGGCTCTTTTCCAGCCTGACTCTATGTCAGCTAGTACTGCCCGTCGAGGAAGGCGATGATTAGGCATACGTAAAACATGTCCTAACCATCTCAGTCGGTGTAGCTTCACAGCCTCGTCTATTGACTTCCCCTCAATGCTTACCCAGTACTCGACCGATGCCTAACCTCAATGTTTCTCACCCTATTATACCATTCCACACAGGAGATAGAACACAGACACCTATGATTAAAGACAGCTAGCCAGTCTTTTCATGTCTTCCAATCTCAATGGTCAGGTCTCACAGCCATACGGGAGGACGGAGCGGACTGTCGAGCACTACACACGCCTTTTGGTTGATAGCCGAATATAACGTCTACACCAGAGACGGCGTAAACTGCCATATGAGACATGAGCCTTCTGCATCTTTGAAGCTGACAATCTCAGCGACCAGTTTGTCTTCCTTACTTCATATTTTACACCCAATTTCGACAATACTTACTACTTCATCCTACTTTGGGACTCTTCATCAGCTAGCAACCACATTGAGGGGTTCGAACCCAGGACCTTCTCGTTACAAGGCGAGCACGTAGACCATTGAGTCACTGGGACTCAATCCAATGGTCCTTGAGTTCTAAATTCTGCCGATTCATGACATAGCGCGACCATTTTGCACTGTCTTCTTCGATGAGTTACTGCCTCATCTTCAACCTGCTGAACCCTGCTCGTCACAGCTTCCTGTTAGAATCCCAGGTTAACTGCCTGGTCTACGAGCTCACCTTGTAACCAGAAGGTCCTGGGTTCAAACTCCGGTGGGTGAGTACTACTGAAGAGTCCCAAACTAGGACGGAGGAAACAGCTGTCCACTACTCCCAGGTGGTTTCCCAGTGGCTCTCTTCTAACTGATGTCAGCTCATGATGATGAAATCCTCCATACAATCAAACAAAATCCCTGAAAAACCAATACACTTGAAAATGCTTACTATATTGCTTCACTTAGCATAATTAAGCAGTCAGCAGTCGTTAAAGGTGTAAGATTTAGATAGGTCAGAGTTTCATTAACACCTTCATGATATAAAATATATTTTTATTAATATGAGGATTTTATTATCCGTTTTAATGTTGTATACACACACACTCACACACCTTTTTACCTGCTCTCAAGATTGCCTTTTCGCATTCTAAATATTCTTTGAACTTTGGATGCGGTTTACGACGTCGATATTCAGATTCCACAAATCCTGGATCTTCCTTTAACACATTGTAGAGAAATGTAAAAATAAAAAGTAAAAAGCAGATTTGAAGTCACAATAGTAATAATAATAATACTGATAATTAAAATGGAATAGAATTTATTCGAGACTATTAATATCCTATAATAGGTTAGTATCCATTATGTCAAGGCTGGTGAGAAAATACATCAACTGTACATCATAGATCCATTAGCTGAAAACTGATCACTTAAACAAGCAACAAAGGTGGTTAATAAAGCAGGATGATTTAATGACTTAATCGAATCTCGGTAGAACTCCTCTTCACCTGAATACTCGACATACATGGATACATATATATATATATATATATACTTTGAAATTACGTTGGGAGATATAAAACTGATAAGCAAATAAACTACATTGCATTAATCATCCAGAAAGACAGGTGGGAATGTTTTTCCAGGTCATGTTGAAATAGATGAGGAGAGAGGGAGTATGAGAGATTAAAGCTAAGATAAAATGCATTACGCTTCCATTACATCACTTAGATAAACAATTAGTCATTAGAGAATATGTCAGGTCTCTGTACAAAAGGAGATGGTCGTCACTCTGAATCTACCATGGCAATACGTTTTACTCATTATTCTACCTCTTATAATTATTATTATTCCTGATTCATTTAAAACTATCTTTTATCAGTAACATTATCTTAACTCCCTTCAACATTATTATTATTGTTATTTGAATAAGGCATTTCGAAGACAAATTTCGCGAGATGATATCGTCATTTCATAGTATCTTAACAACCGCTTTACAACTAACATGATTGACAATAATAAAATAAAGTTAATGAAAATTACTCAGTTAAATAAAAAAAGTGCATACTGATGACCAATCATATTTAGATAGGTCATATAGTTTATAGTAAGCGAAAATTGAAGTCTATTGTTTTGAGTGTACACACAGTTTAGGCTGTATGTGATTAATCTATATAATACCCAATGCCCAAATTTTTTTCAAACCGTTAAAAGTGAACTTGGTTTGGACATATGTAATGTACGTGATTAATCCTCCAAAGTACTTCCATCACCTTTAATCACCAGCCTTGAATTAGAATTAATTGTGAAACAGTCTTTAATATTGATTTTGTGACCTGACATTAATAAGTGTTTTGCAATGAATGATGATGCTGGATTTCTATTCAGATTAATCGCATTGGGATTTTCTATATGATTAAGTAGCCATTTCGGAACATGTTCTTTTCAACGACATTGGAACATTCTATTGGTTCTACCTATATAGGTGTCACCGCAGCTCCAAGTGAACTTGTAGATACAGTTTGAAGTAGAGTCCACAGAATTTCGTCCTTTAATCGTAGGTCTGTACAGGGGTCGAAAATGTTCGGCAAATGAGAAAAAGAGATGTGGCGGCGTAGAATGTGTGTTTGATGACTGACCGAAGTCTTTGAGCTGTCAACTGCATAATCTGGTCACCCTTGTAAAGAAACTACCAAATGATATCATCTCGCGAAATTTGTCTTCTAAATGCCTTATTCAAATTTATCAAAGGGACTAACTGTTTTAATTATTATTACTATAATAATTATTATTATAACTACTACTACTGATATTACTCTGTTTGCAATTCTTGTTATATTCCCTAATGACTAATTGTTTATCTAAGTGATGTAACTGAAGCGTAATGCAATTTATCTTAATTTTGATCGCCCATATTCTCTCTCCCCTTATCTAATTGAACATGACCTGGAAAACATTCCCATCTGTCTTTCTGCATGATTAATGCAATGTAGTTTATTTGCTTATCAGTCTTATATCTCCCAACGTAATTTCAAAAGTATATATATCATGTATTCAGATGACGAGTTCTACCGAAATTCGATGAATTCATTAAATCATTTTAACACTAATATATCTATAATTGTATATATTGTTGGATTTATATGTTCAAGTCAGCCCAAGTCAGTGACTCTATCGTTTTGATATCATTTTAGTTAATTGTGCTTAACTGTATTGCATGTTGTTGTATTGTATTGTTGTTGTCGCTTTTTGCCCTCTTTGCTGTGAATTATTTCCCTTTTGCTGGTGTTGTTCTGATTGTTTTGTCCGTTGTTTTCCGATTTTAAGGGAAGCAACCCAAAAGGTAGCTTCTCTCTAAACTTTATCTTAATGTAACAATTCCTTTCTCAGGCATGAGGCTAGCAACCCCACCCTGTAAACAAAGTAGCTACAGAAACTTCAGCACGATAAACCTCTTTGTCTGTGTGGGGACATGGTACGTCCGCACCATGTACGAGATTGGAAAAGCTGACCAGATCGCAAACGAGATGAAAAGATACGGAATCCAAGTGCTGGGAATATGTGAAAGTAGATGGAACGGGAATGGACTCACCAAATTGTCAACAGGTGAGTCAGTGATCTACTCCGGTCACCCAGAAGATAACCACACGCACACCGAGGGCGTGGCTATCATGATGTCACCAACGGCAACGAAAGCCCTGATACAATGGGAGGCGATTTCGTCCAGGATAATGACCGCCAGATTCAACTCCAAAGGAAGGAAAGTGTCAATCATACAATGTTATGCACCCACAAACAACGCAGACCTCGAAAAGAAAGAAGAATTCTACAGGCAACTACAGGCAACAATGGACAATACTCCAGCTGGCGACATGAAAATACTAATGGGAGACATGAACGCCAAACTGGGACCAGACAATACAGGAAGGGAACTCATCATGGGTAGAGAAGCTCTAGGAGAAATGAATGAAAACGGAGAACTCTTCGCCGACTTCTGCGCCTTCAACGAACTAGTGATTGGTGGCAGTGTATACAAGCACAAAGATATCCACAAGGCTACATGGGTGTCACCAGACGGGCAAACCAAAAACCAAATCGACTTCATCTCATTCTCAAGGAAGTGGGGGCGCAGCCTACTGGACACAAAAGCAAGAAGAGGAGCAGACGTTGGCTCAGACCACTATCTCGTACAAGGGACAATCCAAATCAAATTAAAAGCTTTCAGGGAAACAGGAGCTGCAGATAGACCACAAGCCAAGTTCAACACTCAAAAGCTGAAGGACCAGGCTACAAAGGACATCTTCATTGCAAGCATAAAGGACAAAGCTGAGATACAAATCAACACCAGCGAAAAGGTCAGCGTCGAAAAGCACTGGAACAACTTGAAAACGGTGTGGAGCCAAACCTGCATAGAAATTCTAGGCAGAAAAAAGAGACAGGACAAACAGTGGCTCACTATGGACACTTGGAAACTAATAGAAGAGAGAAGGACAGTGAAACAAAAGATTATCCAGTGCACCGACGAGCAACAAAAACAGGAGCTGAATGCAAGCTACAATACACTGAACAAAAGAGTGAAGAAGAGTGCCAGGGAAGACAAAAGAAAATATTATGAAACCATGGCAAACGAAGCAGAACAAGCTGCAGGCAAAGGAGACCTCGCCACACTCTACCAAACAACTAGGAACCTTTCGGGCAAACGTTCGACACAGATTAAGCCAGTAAAGGACGACAATGGAAAGTCAATCACCAAAGAGCAAAGAAAACGCTGGGCTGAACACTTCAAAAGACTTCTAAATCGTCCGCTACCTACAACGCGCCCAACAATACCGACAACGGAAGCAGAACTACCAGTGAACACTGACCTCCCGACAAAATCAGAAGTCCTGAATGCAATCAAGATGCTAAAAGCTGGGAAAGCCTTGAAAATAGACCCAGAGACAACAGCGGAGTTGATAACGTCACTGCTGGAGAAGGTGTTGAAAGAGGGCAAGGTACCTGAGGATTGGAAGAAAGGATACTTATTCAAACTATCAAAGAAAGGAGATTTAAGTCAATACAAAAACTGGCGTGGAATTATGATCCTGTCCATTCCAAGCAAAATACTAAGCCGCGTCATCCTGGAGAGAATCAATCAAGCCCTGGATGCAAAACTCCGACCGGAACAAGCTGGATTCAGGAGAAACAAGTCATGTATTGATCGAATCACCACACTACGGATCATCATTGAACAAAGCTTCGAATGGCAGTCACCTCTCCACCTCACTCAACTTCATCGACTTTGAAAAGGCCTTCGACAGCGCAGGATCGATCGAGAGGTCATTTGGAAACTACTTCACTACTACGGGGTGCCATCGACAATTATACATCTCATCCAACAGTTATACGACAATGCTGCATGACAAGTAATCCACAACGGTAAACTTACGGAAGCCTTCGAAGTGAGGACGGGAGTGAGGCAAAGCTGTCTACTATCACCAATGATCTTCCTGATTGCAGTAGATTGGATTATGCGACAGACAACGGCAACCAACGAGGGAACGGGCATAAAATGGACTCACACAAAAGACTTGGAGGATCTGGACTTCGGTAATGATATATGTCTGATTTCTCACAAACTGGAAGATATGCAAGTGAAAAGCAACAAGCTGGCAGAACAAGCATCAAAGATAGGACTTCAAGTGAACATAGATAAAACAGAGGTGATGAAGATTCTTGGCCAACAACAACAGACAACAATCAGCCAGAATAAATGGGAGAAACCTGAAAGAAACAACCTCCTTCACCTACCTGGGAAACATCGTTTCAACTACAGGTGGAACTGACGAGGATATCAAAGCCAGAATCGGAAAAGCAAGACAGGCTTTCATTACCCTTAAGTTTGTGTGGAGGTCAACATCACTCAGCATCAAAAATAAGATCCGGATTTTCAATTCCAATGTGAAGTCAGTGCTACTCACTATACGGATCAGAGACTTGCAGGGCGTCATAAAGAGCATCTCCAACAAACTTCAGACCTTCATTAACAGTTGTCTTTGCTCAATACTCAAGATCAGATGGCCGGCCAGAAAAGATCAGAAACAGGGATTTCTGGCAATGAGCGAACGAACCAGGAACCGATTGTGAAACAAATACGCAGGAAGAAATGGAGATGGATTGGCTGGCCATACTCTGAGGAAACTAGCAAGTGACATCACTTGACAAGCCGTCGAGTGGAACC